CTCTGACTCCTTCCGGCAGAAGGTGACCTTGCGTCAAGATTCTGCTGGAGTGCAGCTTGGTTGGTCTTCATCCTCCACCTATTCACCGCTTCTCGAGCGACCCTTCGCAACCACTTAAAGTTCTGCACCTTCGGATCTCCTTCAGCTCGCTCCCACGTATTGATGTTGTGCAGGAGACGGTACCTTACTAACCTGCTGAAAGAAAATGTGCAATTTTAGCTGCTCGTCAATGGGAACCTGAATCTGCGCTTCCACCACCTCCCAGGAGTTAAGGAACTTCTCCAATTGGCTTTCCCCGCCTCCCTGGGTGATGGCCGGCATCTTCATTCCGAAGAGCTCCCCAATGAGGACCGTCTCTTGACCCTGCACACTTGCCCTGTGGTGGTCAATGATGCACCAAATGATCTTCGTGCTAGGGAAGCCCAGGCGAGGATTCTTGTGCGACTCAGCGGTCAGCTTGTCAATCCTTGACTTCAATGCTGGAGACTGGGTGCAGGCTCGGAGCGCAGAGCTCAACCTAGCATCTAGGGCCGGGTAGTCACACAGCACGTCCAAGTCGTCAAGTGATTTTGCATCCTCAGCCGACCTGACCCACGAGAGCGCGCACGTGCAATCATAGGTAAAGGCGTTCCTACGTCAACCACCGCGAGAGCGTCGGCGCCGTGGGCTCCGGATCAAGAGTGATGTCCCTGCATCGGCTGGCTTCAGTGGGAAGACCAGTCCGCCCCATCTGCCCAGCGGTTGGACCGAACACCGAGGCCGGCAGAGCCCCTGTCCGATTCATGATCGCATTGCACTTTGCACAGGTGGACGTCAGTGGTAGAAAGCAACCCTCGCACACGCTCACTCTGCACATGTTGCAGTTCTTGAAGATGTACCCCGGCGCTACCGGAACGTTGCACCCGGGGCACTTCCTCGGAGCATTCAGGCTTTCCCTAATGCTCTCGGGTTCAAGATTGAAGGATCCCGCTGCCTTGCCGTCGGCATACCGGCCAGTAAAGGGATTGTTCGCTCCGCCGTCGGCAGGACGGCCAGCAAACGGAGTGCTGGCAAAACCGTCGGCAGGATGACCAGCAAACGTGTTCCCCCCGCAGCCATCGGCAGGACGGCCAGCTGTCGGGTTCGTAGCGTCCGCGTACGGAACCGTCCTTGCACTTCTTTCCGAAGGAGGTTGATCTTCCGCTCGGGATTGACCCATCGGACCGGCGGCGCCATGGCCACTGGATCTCGGAGTCCCTTGTCCCGTTGAAGGGGTGGAAGGTCGATTCCCCGCAAACGGCAAATTGCTGTCCGCCTGGGCCGGGGCCAGGAGAAGAACCACCTCGCCCGGAAGGGGCAGAGGGGTCATGCCACTTGGCCTTCTTGCATTTGTCGACGCCAATCTTAATGCACGTGAAACAGATGCTCTCGTCCCCGATATCGACACCATGTGCTTCTTCGCCAATGCGATGTCAAGATCTCCAGCGAGCTGTTCCGCGCAGAACAGACGCCTGCATCTGCAGCAGTGGTCGACAAGACCTTCTGATCCGCAGTAACTGCACATATCAGTAGCCATCATGCAAGGAACGCACATCCGCGACCATCCGTCGTAGCAAGGCCCACAGACCACTTTCTCACACTTCTTGCACTCGTGGTGCGGGGTACTATGCACATTGCCTTGGATCCCCTCCATCGCGCAGCGCCTCGGAGGTGCCCCCTTTCCGCCTTCTTCAGCCGGGGCGGTGTTGGGGAAGTGATGTGTTTCCCGCCAACGTGGGCCATGTCGCTTGCAACCGAGGCACATCCTGTCCCATGAGCTGTAACATTGATTGCACACGTCGGCCTGACAAGACTCACATATGTGCACGGCGTTGGGATGGATTTCTCCCATTACAGCTTCATAAGGACAACGGGCAGGCCCTTCGCCTTCACTTCCCTTCCTCTCGCCCTTGCCAACTTCGGGGCTAGGCGAGTCATCACGATTACTAGGAGGTACACCCGCAGCACCCGTGTTTCTCCATGGACGATCACGACGGGATTGGCCACCATACGAGCCCTTGCCGGATTCGCGCCTCCTCTCCCTACGACCTTCGCCTCCTTCCTCGGGGTCGGCATGACCACCGTGATGGGAAGCATGCAGAGGATCGATCGTTCGCCTCAGACACTTCGTTCCGAGAGGCCGCTGCGACAAGCAACGGATTGACCTTCTCGTGCAACTCGGTCAGCATTCTCGGACCTTCGTGCAATTGACCTTACCCGTGAGGAGATCTCCGACTCAGAAACCTTCCTGTGCTCCGCACTCTCCCTGAGGCATTTAGACATCTCCTCAACCTTCCCTCTCAGGACCTCTACTTCAGCAGCGACTAGGCGATCCCTTTCCTTCAATGTCTCAAGAAGCTTCGTGGAGTCCTCCTCCTTTCGCTTCGCACTCTCCTGCGACGACATGACCGTCTCAACTTCGCTCTTTTGCTTCTTGAGCGCGGTTCCGACCACCTCCCTGAGCTTCAGAAGATCGAGCTTGTCTTTGGCGATCGCATTCTCAGACCTAGTCACTCTGTCCCCGATCTCGGCCACAAGCTTCCTCAACTTGAGCACTGCGTCACGGGTCGCGCCATCGACAGGGGCGCTTCCGCTAGCGGGACTTTTGCCATCAGAGCTCCTCAATGACCGAGATCCTCGACATTGAAGACCTCAGATCATTGCACATGACCTTGACGTTCCCCTCGAACGCACGCAGCCACTTCATGAGTCCCTGCTCTCGCATCGAGAAAGCCTTGACCCACTTGCCCTGGTCCTGTTTCAAGGCCTCAAGAGCTCGAAGCTTTCCATGCACCGCTTCGCCACGGCAGCCAGCTTCATTGCCGCATCCTTCCTCCCGGCGTCAAAACGCTCCGCGGCCCTACGCTCAGCGTCAAGGAGGTGGGAGTCAACATGGTCGCGGCTTTCCTTGCTCACCGCGTCGATGCATGCTTTGGTTCCCTTCACAATTGCGTTGGATCTCTCCAGCAAAGCTTTCTTGGCACTGGCCTCAGCCACATCCACACGGGCATGAGCTTTCTTCTCAACCTCATCAATGCCCAGCACAGTACCTCGAAGCTGGGCATCCGGCCGGAGAGCTTCCCGATGAGCTGATGGATTGTGGAGATGTCCCCACTGGTGAGCTCCGTCTGCACTGTGGAGTCCTGCATGGGTCGCGCGGCAGACGCACCCCCAGCTTGGCCACTTCCATGCTCACCTTGGGACTGACTTCCCTGACTGGGGGAAGCGCCAACAACTGTCGCCGTCAGAGTCGATCTCCGTCTTCTGTAGCTCCCGCGACCTGCGAAGTCTCTCCCCCGACGGGGGACATGACGAGGACCTGACGCAGCCTCGGAAGACGAGGCTATGGGAACATCCACTCCGTCGAGAACGTCCGGCCATGTCTTAGTGATGCTCACTGTCGATGTTGGCCTCTGGGATCTCGCTGGGAGTTCTGAAAACCTGCGCAGCCGGAATAGCATCCGAGTCGTTCCCTTTCTCCTCCGGGTTCAGTAGCATGGGGCTGTCAGAGATGAGCTATGCAAAGAAAAACACCGCCGCGGCAACCTGACAGGGGTCGGCCGGGACAGTGGAAGGCTCATCAGAAGGGCCAGACTTTTCTCCTCCTGCACGCTGCCTGCTGCGCTGTTCGACGGCCGCCATGAGCCTGTCGTCATCCTGCTGCTCCAACTCCTAAAGATGCCTCCGGAACAGGTCGTCGACATTGACAGCCTGTTCACCCGGCTTAAGCTTGAACTTTGGAAACGGCGGGATCTCTGGGAGAGGCTCAGCTGCGGGCGGCATGCCAGCACAGCCTCCCTCAGTCACTGGTGTGTGGACGGAGAAGAACTCCGGCGTCCCTATGTGAAAGAAAGTCCCGGCAGAGGACCTCCAGACTGCTCCTGCTGCGCCCGATCTCCCGACATGGGACGAAAAGGCCCAGAACCTGAGGGCAGACCGTTACCTACAAGACTATTGAGTACCGGGCCCGCCGCCAAGGGCAGCCCCAAGAGTTCCGTGTGTGCCCTCTGGAGCACCAACAGTACTCCCTCCATCAGACATGGCACCACTCCCAGATCCGGCTCAAGGCACGGACTCTGCTCTCCTTTTCAGTTCGCGGGGCCGATTGGCTCCCTCCACACCACTCACACTTCCTGTTGAGGCGGCGCCAGTACCATCCCTGGGCCTAGCCCCTTGGCTCACCCTGAGCTCTCGCTTCTCCGGTTGAGGTGGCGCCAGTGTCATCTCTGGGCCTAGCGCCTTCTGACGCCCCTCTTCCACCAGGCAAATTCGTGCCTCGTTTAAAACTCGTTTCTGTTGCGTTAAAACCGCTGCTGGTGCGCACAACCACTGTTTGCAAGTCAATCTCGCGCTCATGCACTCCCGTGTCCCCAGGCCCAAACCGGTCACATTCTCCCGATGCTTCGCCTGACGCTCCCTCCCCAGTGGCCTCGCCCGCCATGGGGACTGAGGCATACCGGCTCGGTACACTGGAGGTGAAAGTAGACGTCGCTCCCCTCCCGACCGGGCCACTCGCCATGGAGCTCGGCCCAGTTCGGTCAGGTACAGTGGTCCCTGCATCACCTGGCGCTCCCCTCCCGGTCGGACCACTCGCCACGGAGTCCGGCCCAAACCGGTCAGGTACAGTGGCGGCTGCAACACTCCCCTTCCGGTCGGACCACTCGCCACGGAGTTCGGTCCAGACCGGTCAGGTACTGTAGTCCCTGCAACGACCCTCGCTCCCGCCCCAGTTGGGAGTCCCGACATGGGACTCAAGCCAAACTGGTTTGGTACAGTTCCAGCTGCGACACCTGACGCTCCCTCCCCAGCGGACGGGTCCGCCATGGGACTCCATCCAGACTGGATCGGTACAGATCAGTACCGAGTGTCTTGTCTCTGTTGGACAGGCCGGATGGTGAGGGAGCGTTGCGTGTTGGTGCCAACTCTGTAGGTGAACCAACGGCCCACAGGTCCCTGGCGGACTGGCCGCGCTTTGCAGTTCCTCATGACGGAGCCTCGTCAAGTCCGAAGGGCGGCCTGCCGAAGATCTCCAGGTCAGTGGGCCCAGTCGCCATGGACTGGTCTCCTGCATCACCGTCCTGAGAGCCATCCAAAATCTCCCGCGCTTCCCCCAGCGAGGTCTCGACATGATCCCTCCTGGAAGTGGAAGTCCCGAGCCCTCTAAAACTCGACGGAATAGATCCCCAGTCAATGGAGTACACGTCCAGTGATGCACCGCCAGTAGATCCAGTCACTGGAAAGCCGCTCCAACTCGGTGAAAACTATCGTCCAGGTGGCCCTCGTCCGTAATGGCTGCCATCTGTGAAGAGGCACCTCCCCCAGGGGATCTCGGTCATCCCACACCGTCGTCCACGTGGCCTCCATCCACATGACCCACAGCTCTGCCAGTGGGATTCGACATAGATCCCCTGGCCAACTCCTCATGCACTGACACCTCAAATCCGCGTCCGCCCGACCTGGCAGCGGTCGGGCCCTCAATGGGGTCGTCCAGAAGCTCACGTCTCGACTCGACAAGAGTCGGATTCTCAATGGGATCATCCAGAAGTCCCAGTACTGAATCTCTTGCATGCCCGTCATGACTCTCTCTCGAATCCCGGCTGGGGATCCGGACCTGTCTCCAGTGGAAGGCTCGTCCAAGAAGTCCAGCTCCGTTGAGGGGCGGGGGGCCGGCAAGGCAACCCCCGCCCCGTCCTCATCCTGCAAACTCGTCATCGGAGACCTCGATGACTCCATTGGGCCACGACACGTAGCCCGGTCACCAGCGTAGGCCGAGGCCTACGGCTGATAACCTGGAGAAACCTGGGAAACCCCGTTACCCAAGTTCCCAAAAGGGGGAAAAACCGGGCTTCTCGACACAAGAAACCCACCCTTAAAACAATGCCCTTAGCCCCAAAGCACAGGGAAACCCACGCAGGTGACCAAGAGGAAGAGGAAGATTGAAGTAATGCTTGATGGTGTGGTTGAAGTAGTACAGGTTGCAGAGCAAGACCACAAATGAACACAAAGACCAACGAGGTATCAGAAGAGCAGGCGACGGCGCACCAACACGAACGCCTATGGCCCGGCCCGGATGCCGCCCCGCCCACGCCCTTTTTTACCTCACGCCAGACCTGTCGTCCACGTGCAGGCTTGAGCCAAGGCCGCAGAATCCACGGCCTTGGAACATGTACGAATACTTACTGATTGCATGCCAAACCACACCTCCAAATGACATAGCCATCTGCAAGACCAAAACATGAAACATCAAACTGGCCTTTTTCTCAAGCGCAAACTCATAATCACAAAAGTTAGGAACCAAGTTGACATGATGTTCAAGTCCTTGACCTGTGGTGGCACAAAGGCTCCCATCAACTTCATCAGACTGAAGCCACCGACCAGCACCATCCATGGCTTGACACGCACTTGGTGCCTTCGGTTCATGGCTACAACAAGGAGTGTGCCAACACCACTCCATGCAGTTTTACTCCATCCACTCTTCCTTAGTCTTTTTTAAATTATTTTACACATTGTCTAGGTTGGCTGAGTTTTGGTGAGGTGTTTTGTTGTAGGCTTCTGTGCTGAATCTATGCACATGCTTCTGTACAAGTATGCTGTTGGAGTTGTTGATGATGTTGATGTGATGGTGTGTTGTTAGGTTTTTTGTGTGGTGTTTTGTGTACATGTTGCTGTGGGAGCTGGGGCGGGGTATAGTATTGAACTGGGGGTTGAGGCTTTTTCAGGTCTTTCAGAGTCATGATCCTCGCGAACCTCATGTCACGACTCAAGGTCCATGCCTGGTTTCATTGCAGATTTGCGAATCTCCAGTATCTGCTTCGTAGACAATGCCTTGAAGAAAGTCACGAGCCGGGGGACACAACTCACAGCCCTTCTTGTTCATCTTCATGAAAAAACGAAAAAAGGGTAAAGCAAATCAAACATAAACACACCCGATTTCGGAAATGTTGAAGCGCAGGTGCATAGATTTGACTCAGCATGCCTGACTTGTCGATTTACCAATTTGCGAATATCCTTGAATGGAATTTCAATTGCACCATCTCACATAGCTGATACTATGCATGCGTTGTGTTTATGGGGCTGGAAAACATCCACAAACAAGACAGCGAAGGAGCTGAAGTCTTCCGTCCATTTTCGCAAAAGATCGGTCATGGATTTGCCAGTTGCGCTTCAGCGGCCTCCTTATGCAATTTGGAGGCAAAAAAGAAGCGCTTCTTGATTGGGTGAAAATACACAGCATTACAACTCTTGTTGCGAATTAGTGCGGCAACCTCCCTTGGGAGGATGCGAAACCTAGTTTTGAAAACCCTCTGCATGATGTGTCATGTTGCTTCAAGTTTCTCTCTTGCGACGATCTGGCGTCCGTGTGAGCTTAGGATGAAACCTGCAACTCCATGAATCCGACAGCTTCTGCTGTAACAAATCGGCCGATACTCTTGCTTCGTGTCGTTCAATGATATTCCCTTCCTTGGCTTTCAAGAACACGCACAACAAAAACAAATACGAGGTTCAAACACCGAAATAGTAAATCATCATCCGTTCAAGCCAGGCGCTTCAGATTCTCACAGGCCTTCACCAAGTCGCCAATCCGCAAGCCACCTGAAATGAACTCTGGTCAAAGTCCGCCCAAACAAAAACTCGAACGGGGCAAACACACCTTCATCAATCAACATGTTGTTGAATTGAGCCGAAACACAAGCATCCACGAAGTCTTTCCAATTCTTCTCATGCCCATAGCATTGTGCCAAAAACTACTTCGCTTCCTCCTCCGTCAAGTCGCCAACCCAAATGTCTTCCTGCCTTTCAGTTCCTCCATCATCAAAAGCCAACGCCACTGCCGCCGAAGAGGCTGACACAATCACCTTGGACAAAGGATAATCAAACATAGATACCACTCCCTCAACATGGTTTCCGTTTGCAACATTGGAATTTTGCATTGAAGCTGGGGGGCATGAATGGCACTTCCGATTTTGTCCGTCGCCACAACCTTCGCAGTAGAAGAGATTAAGTTGATGCCTCGGCAAGCGGAACGGAAACAAAAAGACTAGGGCAAAATGCGCTACAGCATCGATAGACAACTGAAAATCATATTTTGTCCAGCCAGTCCTTCGGTGGTTGTACGAGGGACTTCAAGAAGAAGGATTGGAAACTTGGTGAGGTTGTTGGGGAAGTCCTTGAGCTTCTCGCGCACTCGCCGCATGACCACTTTGAACAGCCCTTCGTCATCTACTCCCAGTTGCTTGCACATCCGATCTGCCCAATCGGCACTTCTGATGGTGAATCGAACAACACCTCGCACCCCGCGCAAGGCTTCTTCTGTTGCCACAGACTTTCCTGACTGGTACCGACCCCCAATGATGGTCGCATGTTGTTGCCAGCTCGCACTGCGTTGCCGGATAGTTCCATCACTGGCCTATGGAGTGACCATCGCGTCTTGCTGCCTGTCTGGGTTCAAAAACGCCGTCCCATGTCTTGTTCAGCGCTTCTTGGATTGTTGCCTTCTGAGAGGCCTGTGAACGCCGCCACCCCCAATTGCCCAAATGCGAAGGCTGCACTTGCCACGCTTATGAAGAAGTCGCGGTTTCGCCCAACGTCGTCAACGAATTGTTGAAAATCCCTTCCCGACGTGTCAGAGGCATAGGCTGGGGCTGCCATGATGCATGAGCCAACCACATGCCCAATGCCGCGGGTCCAAGGCGTGGTGGGCGATCTCACTGGACCGCCTCCGATATGACATACCATAGCCATCTGCAATACGAAAACATGAAACATCAACTGGCCTTTTCTTACGCACAAACGGGCATAACCACAGCGCATAACCACAGGAGTTCGGAACCAAGTTGACATGATTTTCCATGTCCTTGACGACTGTGGTGGTGGGCACGAAGTCTCCCATCAACTCACCAGACTGTAGCCACCAACCATCACCATCCCATGGCTTGACACGCTTTTTGTGCCTTTGGTGGTTCATCGGGGTTCATGCTTTACTAACAAGGAGTGTGACAACACCACTCCATGCAGTTTTACTCCATCCAATCTTCCTTAGTCTTTTTTAAATTATTTTACACATTGTCTAGGTTGGCTGAGTTTTGGTGAGGTGTTTTGTTGTAGGCTTCTGTGCTGAATCTATGCACATGCTTCTGTACAAGTATGCCGTTGGGGTGTTAATGACGTTGATGTGATGGTTTCTTGCTAGGTTTTTTGTGGTGTTTGGTGTACATGTTGCTGTGGGAGATGGGGCGGGGGATAGTATTGAACTGGGGGTTGAGGCTCTTTCTGGTCTTTCAGAAGTCATGATCCTCGCGAACCTCATGTCACGACTCACCTGGCCAAAAAAAACAGCAGCCAAGCAGGCCTACTACACCACAAAGAAAAATAAAAAAGAAACAAAAACAAAGAATTACTCCAAGGTCCATGTCGGGTTTTCATTGCGTCGCGAAGCTTCAGGATCTGCCTTCGTGGACAATGCTTGATTAAAGCCAGCGAGTTGGGGGAGCACAACTCGCCAGGGCCCTTCTTTTTCATCCTCAAGGAAAAAAGTCAAACGGGAAAAACAAATCAAACATTAGCACACCCGTTTTCCAGGAACATGTTGTATTTGCAGGTGCATAGGATTTGGAATCAGCATGCCTGAAATCGTCTTCTGACCTATTTGCGAATATCCTTGAATGGGATTAAAAAATGCACCATCTCACATAGCTGCCACTATGCATGCGTTGCGTGTATGGGGCTGGAAAACATGCACAAGCAAGACAGCGAAGGAGCTGAAGTCTTCCGACCATTTTCGCAAAAGATCGGTCATGGATTTGCCAATTGCGCTTCAGCGGCTTCCTTATGCAATTTGGAAGCAAAAAAGAAGCGCTTCTTGATAGGGTGAAAATACACAGCATGACAACTCTTGTTGCGAATTAGCGCGGCAAGCTCCCGAGGGAGGATGCGAATGCTGTTGAAAACCTCTGGCATGCCTTCAGGATAAATTTTGAGGAGCTCTTGCGACATCTGGCGTCCGTTGAGCTTAGGATGAACCTGCAACTCCATGAAGCCGACAGCTTCTGCTGTAGCAAATCGCCGATACTCTTGCTTCGTGTCGTTCAATGATATTCCCTTCCTTGGCTTTCAAGAACACGCACAACAAAAACAAATACGAGGTTCAAACACCGAAAAAGTAAATCATCATCCGTTCAAGCCAGGCGCTTCAGATTCTCACAGGCCTTCGCCAAGTCGCCAATCCGGAAGCCACCTGAAATGAACTCAAAGTCCCTACGATCCCCCCCGAAAAAAACGGGTGGGGGGGGGGGGGCTTGAGACGCAGCAAGCACAACCTTCATCAATCAACATGTTGTTGTATAGGAGCTGAAGCACAAGCATCCCGGGGGGGGGGGGGGGGGGGGGGGGGGGGGGGGGGGGGGCCCCCCCCCCCCCCCCCCCACCACGAAGTCCTTTCCAATACTTCTCCAATGCCCATGTCACGTGGGCCAAAAACTCCCTCGCTTCCTCCTCCGACAAGTCCACATGTTGTTGTTGTGTCGTCTGTCTTTCAGTTCCACCAGCATCGAAAGCCAGCGCCACTGCTGCCGAGGAGGCTGATACAAACACCTTGGACAAAGGATAATTGGACGGAACTACATTCACTCAACATGGTTTTGTTTGAAGCCTTTGAATTTAGCATTGAAGCCGGGGGGCATGAATGGCACTTCCGATTTTGTCCGTCGCCACATCCTTTGCAGTAGAAGAGATTAAGTTGATGCCTCGGCGAGCGGAACGGAAACAAACAGACCTAAGGCCAAAATGCTTACAAACAGCATCCTATGAAAACTGAAAAAACATATGTTGTCCAAGCCAGTCCCTTCTGATGGTTTGTACGAGAGCTTCAAGAAGAAGGATTTGAAACTTGGTGAGGTTGTTGGGGAAGTCCTTGAGCTTCTCGGGCACTCGCCGCATGACCTCTTTGAACAGCCCTTCGTCATCTACTCCCAGTTGCGTGCACATCCGATCTGCCCAATCGGCACTTCTGATGGTGAATCGAACAACACCTCGCACCCCGCGCAAGGCTTCTTCTGTTGCCACAGACTTTCCTGACTGTGGTACCGACCCGCAATGATGGTCGCAATTATGTTGCCAGCGTCGCAATGCTTTGCGGCATAGTTGTTGCCTATCACTGGCCTTCTGATGACCTCCGTCTTGCGCCTGCTGGGTTCAAAAGGCACCATGGGTCTTTGCCAGCGATTCATGGATTTTGCCTTCTGGAGAGGCTTTGAACGCCGCCACCAATTGCCCAAATGCGAAGGCTGCACTTGCCACGCTAATGAAGAAGTCGCGGTTTCGCCCACGTCGTCAACGAATTGTTGAAAATCCCTTCCCGACGTGTCAGAGGCATAGGCTGGGGCTGCCATGATGCATGAGCCAACCACATGCCCAATGCCGCGTGCCCCAAGGCGTGGTGGGCATCTCACTGGAACCGCCTCCAAATGACATAGCCATCTGCAAGACGAAAACATGAAACATCAAACTGGCCCTTTCTTACGCACAAACGCATAACCACAGGAGTTAGGAACCAAGTTGACATGATTTTCATGTCCTTGACCTGTGGTGGTGGCACGAAGGCTCCCATCAACTTCACCAGACTGAAGCCACCAACCAGCACCATCCATGGCTTGACACGCTTTTGGTGCCTTTGGTTCATGGTTCATGGCTACAACAAGGAGTGTGCCAACACCACTCCATGCACTTTTACTCCATAATATTTCTTAGTATTGTAAACATTATTTTACACATTGTCTAGGTTGGCTGAGTGTTGCTGGTGTTTTGTTGTAGGCTTCTGTGCTGAATCTATGCACATGCTTCTGTACAAGTATGCCGGTGGGGTGTTAATGACGTTGATGTGATGGTTTCTTGCTAGGTTTTTTGTGGTGTTTGGTGTACATGTTGCTGTGGGAGATGGGGCGGGGTATAGTATTGAACTGGGGGTTGAGGCTCTTTCTGGTCTTTCAGAAGTCATGATCCTCGCGAACCTCATGTCACGACTCACCTGGCCAAAAAAACAGCAGCCAAGCTGCAAAGACTCCAAGGTCCAGGTCGGGTTTCATTGCGCGCGAAGCTTCAGGATCTGCTTCGTGGACAATGCCTTGATTAAAGCCACGAGTTGGGGGACACAACTCGCAGCCCTTCTTTTTCATCCTCAAGAGAAAAAATGAAAAAGGGAAAAGCAAATCAAACATAAACACACCCGATTTCGGAAATGTTGAAGTGCAGGTGCATAGATTTGGATCAGCATGCCTGAATCATCTTTTTGCCTATTTGCGAATATCTGTGAATGGGATTTCAAAATGCACCATCTCACATAGCTGCCACTATGCATGCGTTGTGCTTACGGGGCTGGAAAACATGCACAAGCAAGACAGCGAAGGAGCTGAAGTCTTCCGACCATTTTCGCAAAAGATCGGTCATGGATTTGCCAATTGCGCTTCAGCGGCTTCCTTATGCAATTTGGAAGCAAAAAAGAAGCGCTTCTTGATAGGGTGAAAATACACTGCATGACAACTCTTGTTGCGAATTAGTTCGGCAAGCTCCCGAGGGAGGATGCGAATGCTGTTGAAAACCTCTGGCATGCCTTCAGGATAAACTTTGAGGAGCTCTTGCGACATCTGGCGTCCGTTGAGCTTAGGATGAACCTGCAACTCCATGTAGCCGACAGCTTCTGCTGTAGCAAATCGCCGATACTCTTGCTTCGTGTCGTTCAATGATATTCCCTTCCTTGGCTTTCAAGAACACGCACAACAAAAACAAATACGAGGTTCAAACACCGAAAAAGTAAATCATCATTCGTTCAAGCCAGGCGCTTCAGATTCTCACAGGCCTTCGCCAAGTCGCCAATCCGGAAGCCACCTGAAATGAACTCAAAGTCCCCCCCCGAAAAAACGCTTGAACGCAGCAAGCACACCTTCATCAATCAACATGTTGTTGTATTGAGCTGAAGCACAAGCATCCACGAAGTCTTTCCAATTCTTCTCATGCCCATGCAGTGCCAAAAACTCCTTCGCTTCCTCCTCCGTCAAGTCAACAACCCAAATGTCTTCCTGTCTTTCAGTTCCACCAGCATCGAAAGCCAGCGCCACTGCTGCCGAGGAGGCTGATACAATCACCTTGGACAAAGGATAATTGGACGGAACTACATTCACTCAACATGGTTTTGTTTGAAGCCTGTGAATTTAGCATTGAAGCCGGGGGGCATGAATGGCACTTCCGCTTTTGTCCGTCGCCACATCCTTCGCAGTAGAAGAGATTAAGTTGATGCCTCGGCGAGCGGGGAACGGAAACAAACAGACGAGGGCAAAATGCGACAGAATCGCTAGAAGAACTGGAAAAAAACATATTTTGGTCCAGCCAGTCCTTCGGTTGGTTGTACTAGGGACTTCAAGAAGAAGGTAATTGGAAACTTGTGGTGAGGTGGTTGGGGAAGTCCTTGAGCTTCTCGGGCACTCGCCGCATGACCTCTTTGAACAGCCCTTCGTCATCTACTCCCAGTTGCTTGCACATCCGATCTGCCCAATCGGCACTTCTGATGGTGAATCGAACAACACCTCGCACCCCGCGCAACGCTTCTTCTGTTGCCACAGACTTTCCTGACTGGTACCGACCCCCAATGATGGTCGCATGTTGTTGCCAGCTCGCAATGCGTTGCCGGAGAGTTTCCATCACTGGCCTTTGGATGACCTCGTCTTGCGGCCTGCTGGGTTCAAAAGGCTCCATGGTCTTTGCCAGCGCTTCTTGGAGTTTGCCTTCTGGAGAGGCTTTGAACGCCGCCACCAATTGCCCAAATGCGAAGGCTGCACTTGCCACGCTAATGAAGAAGTCGCGGTTTCGCCCAACGTCGTCAACGAATGGTTGAAAATCCCTTCCCGACGTGTCAGAGGCATAGGCTGGGGCTGCCATGATGCATAGCCAACCACATGCCCAATGCCGCGTGCCCCAAGGCGTGGTGGGCATCTCACTGGAACCGCCTCCAAATGACATAGCCATCTGCAAGACGAAAACATGAAACATCAAATCAAACTGGCCTTTTCTTACGCACAAACGCATAACCACAGGAGTTAGGAACCAAGTTGACATGATTTTCATGTCCTTGACCTGGTGGTGGCACGAAGGCTCCCATCAACTTCACCAGACTGAAGCCACCAACCAGCACCATCCATGGCTTGACACGCTTTTGGTGCCTTTGGTTCATCGGGTTCATGGCTACAACAAGGAGTGTGCCAACACCACTCCATGCAGTTTTACTCCATCCAATCTTCCTTAGTCTTTTTTAAATTATTTTACACATTGTCTAGGTTGGCTGAGTGTTGCTGGTGTTTTGTTGTAGGCTTCTGTGCTGAATCTATGCACATGCTTCTGTACAAGTATGCCGTTGGGGTGTTAATGACGTTGATGTGATGGTTTCTTGCTAGGTTTTTTGTGGTGTTTGGTGTACATGTTGCTGTGGGAGATGGGGCGGGGTATAGTATTGAACTGGGGGTTGAGGCTCTTTCTTGTCTTTCAGAAGTCATGATCCTCGCGAACCTCATGTCACGACTCACCTGGCCAAAAAAAACAGCAGCCAAGCTGCAAAGACTCCAAGGTCCATGTCGGGTTTCATTGCGCGCGAAGCTTCAGGAACTGCTTCGTGGACAATGCCTTGATTAAAGCCACGAGTTGGGGGACACAACTCGCAGCCCTTCTTTTTCATCTTCAAGAGAAAAAAGGAAAAAGGGAAAAACAAATCAAACAGAAGCACACCCGTTTTCGGAAATGTTGAAGTGCAGGTGCTTAGATTTGGATCAGCATGCCTGAATCGTCTTCTGACCTATTTGCGAATATCCTTGAATGGGATTAAAAAATGCACCATCTCACATAGCTGCCACTATGCATGCGTTGCGTGTATGGGGCTGGAAAACATGCACAAGCAAGACAGCGAAGGAGCTGAAGTCTTCCGTCCAATTTCGCAAAAGATCGGTCATGGATTTGCCAGTTGCGCTTCAGCGGCTTCCTTATGCAATGTGGAAGCAAAAAAGAAGCGCTTCTTGATAGGGTGAAAATACACAGCAGGACAACTCTTGTTGCGAATTAGTTCGGCAACCTCCCTTGGAAGGATGCGGATGCCATTTACAACATTCAAAATACCTGCCGGATAAGCCGTCAGGAGCTCTTTCACCATCTCGCGCCCCGTGACCTTGGGGTGCACTTGAAGCTCCATGAAGCCTCGCACTTCATCATCAGCAAGCTGACATTCTTGCTTCGTGTCGTCCAATGACATTCCTTTCCTTAGTTCAACAGATACACAACACATATCCCTGAGAGGTTTTGAACGCCGAAAAAGTAAATCATCATTCGTTCAAGCCAGGCGCTTCAGATTCTCACAGGCCTTCGCCAAGTCGCCAATCCGGAAGCCACCTGAAATGAACTCAAAGTCCCCCCCCGAAAAATCGCTTGAACGCAGCAAGCACACCTTCATCAATCAACATGTTGTTGTATTGAGCTGAAGCACAAGCATCCACGAAGTCTTCCCACTTGTTCTCATGCCCATGCAGTGCCAAAAACTCCTTCGCTTCCTCCTCCGTCAAGTCAGCAACCCAAATGTCTTCCTGTCTTTCAGTTCAACCAGCATCGAAAGCCAGCGCCACTGCCGCCGAGGAGGCTGGTACCATCACCTTGGACAAAGGATAATTGGACGTAACTACATTCACTCAACATGGTTTTGTTTGAAGCCTTTGAATTTAGCAATTGAAGCCGGGGGGCAGGAATGGCACTATCCGAAAAAAAAAAATTTTTTTTTGTCCCCGTCGCCTGCCACCAAGACAAGCTTGAAGATTAAGTTGATGCCTCGGCAGGCGGAACGGAAACAACAAGACGAGGCAAAATGCGTTACAGCATCGCTAGAAAACTGAAAAAACATATTTTGTCCAGCCAGTCCTTCTGTGGTTGTACGAGGGACTTCAAGAAGAAGGATTGGAAACTTGGTGAGGTTGTTGGGGAAGTCCTTGAGCTTCTCGCGCACTCGCCGCATGACCTCTTTGAACAGCCCTTCGTAACTACTCCCAGTTGCTTGCACATCCGATCTGCCCAATCGGCACTTCTGATGGTGTATCGAACAACACCTCGCACCCCGCGCAAGGCTTCTTCTGTTGCCACCGACTTGCCGGACTGATAGCGACCCCCAATGATGGTCGCATGTTGTTGCCAGCTCTCAATGCGTTTCCGGATAGTTTCCATCACTGGCCTTTGGATGACCTCGTCTTGCAGCCTGCTGGTTCAAAAGCCCATGTCCTTTGCAGCGCTCTTGGATTTTGCCTTCTGAGAGCTTTGAATGCCTCGTCCTTTGGGGGGGGGGTGGGGGTTGGTGGGGGGGGGGGGGGGGGGGGGGGGGGGGGGGGGGGGGGGGGCCGCCGAGCGCTTTGCGTGATCCAATTGAGCCGCTTTGCTTGATCCAATTGAGCCACTGCAACTGCAGTCCCCGCCACTGAAAGAGTGGCGCTGGCCAAGGCGGCGAAGAAGTCCTTCTTTCCCGCAAACTCTTCAACGAATTGTTGAAAATCCAGCCCCGACGTGTCAGAGGCATAGGCTGGGGCTGCCATGATGCATGAGCCAACCACATGCCCAACGCTGCATGCCCCAAGGCGTGGTGGGCATCTCACTGGAACCACCTCCAAATGACGTAGCCATCTGCAAGACCAAAACATAAAACATCAAACTGTCTTTATCTGAAACACAAAGGGTGTGGTCATCTGAGCACAAAAGTTGGGAACCAACTTGACATGTTCAAGTCCTTGACCTGTGGTGGTGGCACAAACGCTCCCATCAACTTCATCAGACTGAAGTCACCAACCAGCACCATCCATGGCTTGACACGCACTTGGTGCCTTCGGTTCATCGGGTTCATGGCTGCTGATGTGATGGGTTGTTGTTAGGTGTCTTTTGTGGTGTTTTGTGTACATGTTGCTGTGGGAGCTGGGGCGGGGTATAGTATTGAACTGGGGGTTGGGGCTCTTTCTGGTCTTTCAGAAATCATGATCCTCGCGAACCTCATGTCACGACTCATGCACCTGGCAAAAAAAAAACAGCAGCCAAGCCGCAAAGACTCCAAGGTCCATGTCGGGCTTCATTGAAGCTGTGCGAAACTTCAGGATCGACACCCGATTTCGGAAATGTTGAAGTGCAGGTGCATAGATTTGGATCAGCATGCCTGAATCGTCTTCTGACCTATTTGCGAATATCCTTGAATGGGATTTCAAAATACACCATCTCACATAGCTGACACTATGCATGCGTTGTGCTTACGGGGCTGGAAAACATGCACAAGCAAGACAGCGAAGGAGCTGAAGTCTTCCGACCATTTTCGCAAAAGATCGGTCATGGATTTGCCAGTTGCGCTTCAGCGGCTTCCTTATGCAATTTGGAAGCAAAAAAGAAGCGCTTCTTGATAGGGTGAAAATACACTGCATGACAATTCTTGTTGCGAATTAGTTCGGCAAGCTCCCTTGGAAGGATGCCAAAGCCGTTTACAACATTCCGAATACCAGCAGGGTAAGCATCCATGAGCTCTTGCAACATCTGGCGTCCAGTCACTTCCTCATCGATTTTGAGTTGCATGAAGCGTCGCACTTCATCATCGGCAACATCTAGACCTGAAATCTGATTGACGTCCAAAGACTTTCCTAGCACTTTTCAACAGATACACAACACATATCCTGAGAGGTTTGAACGCCACCGAAAAAGTAAATCATCATTCGTTCAAGCCAGGCGCTTCAGATTCTCACAGGCCTTCGCCAAGTCGCCAATCCGGAAGCCACCTGAAATGAACTCAAAGTCCCCCCCGAAAAAAACGCTTGAACGCAGCAAGCACACCTTCATCAATCAACATGTTGTTGTATTGAGCTGAAGCACAAGCATCCACGAAGTCTTCCCACTTGTTCTCATGCCCATGCAGTGCCAAAAACTCCTTCGTTTCTTCCTCCGTCAAGTCAGCACCCCAAATGTCTTCCTGTCTTTCAGTTCCACCAGCATCGAAAGCCAGCGCCACTGCCGCCGAGGAGGCTGATACAATCACCTTGGACAAAGGATAATTGGACGTAACTACATTCACTCAACATGGTTTTGTTTGAAGCCTTTGAATTTAGCATTGAATCCGGGGGGCATGAATGGCACTTCCGATTTTGTCCGTCGCCACATCCTTCGCAGTAGAAGAGATTAAGTTGATGCCTCGGCAAGCGGAACGGAAACAAAAAGACTAGGGCAAAATGCGTTACAGCATCGCTAGAAAACTGAAAAACATATTTTGTCCAGCCAGTCCTTCGGTGGTTGTACGAGGGACTTCAAGAAGAAGGATTGGAAACTTGGTGAGGTTGTTGGGGAAGTCCTTGAGCTTCTCGCGCACTCGCCGCATGACCTCTTTGACAGCCCTTCGTCATCTACTCCCAGTTGCTTGCACATCCGATCTGCCCAATCGGCACTTCTGATGGTGAATCGAACAACACCTCGCACCCCGCGCAAGGCTTCTTCTGTTGCCACAGACTTTCCTGACTGGTACCGACCCCCCATGATGGTCGCATGTTGTTGCCAGCTCTCAACGCGTTTCTGGATAGTTCCCATCACTGGCCTTTGGATGACCTCTTCTTGCGGCCTGCTGGGCTCAAAAGGTTTCATGGCCTTTGCCACTGCTGCTCGGATTTTGCCCTCGGAAGAGGCTTTGAATGTCCGCACTGAGTCCCTGACTGCCCGCACTGCCTGTATTGTCGCTACAACAAGACCCGAAGCAGAAACAATGACTTGCCAGACCTTCACGTCCAAAGCTCTGCAATGGGTCGAGCGTGGGCGCAAATCCTCTTTCACCTCGAGGGCAAAGATTGAGGAGTGAAAAATATACAATGCAATATAAAACCAAAAATATGCAAGAATGTTTTTTCTGTCTGACCAAGTAGAAAAAATTACCAAACAGCAAAGTTTCAATGCTAGACCCAATAAATTGAGGACGCTCAATGAGGCCCCGCAGTCTCGCTGATGCCACCTGCGGATGAAAGAGAAACAAACTACGCACTTTGCATGAATCCATTCAAGACACACCAAATTTAAAAAATGTCTTTATAACAGAATAATAAACGCAACCGTGTCTTGAAACTGCATGTCCATCCCCAACCTGCGGTGGTGGCACAAAGGCCCCCATCAACTTCACCAAAACAAAGACCAGCGCCATCCATGTCTTGATACGCACTTGGTGCCTCCGCTTCATGGCAAAACTATCCCCACACTCAAGTCCCGACTGCAGAAGAGCTCACATTATTCTAAGCTCAGGGCGTGATTTTGGTAAACTTGGTGTCTGATCTTGATTTTGGACGAAATCAAAAACATATTGCACAAGTCTTTGGAAATTCTGCACGCGTGCGTCCGCCCCGATGTCTTGCCACAAGCCGTTTTGAGCAAACTCTGCGGCATGGACGCTGTCAAGCTGGGCAAACGCGTCGTCAAGCAACAAACGAAGGCCTGAGAAGTAACTTGCAGAACCAAGACGGCGTTAAGGAAGGAGATTAAGAGATTACGTGAGGGCATCTAGCAAAGGAAAGGCTTAAAGGACAATGATATCAGGCAACGATATTTAGAGGATCGCTGCAAGTCCCATTTGCCTTGCATTCGGCCTTGCAAGAGAACTGCCTCGCAAGTTGATAGCGAAGGCCAGTCACTGAGAACACATTTGTTGCATGAACATGTCTAGCGCCCATTGCCCTGTGCCGCAACACTCTCACCCAAACAGCTTTGGTTTGTGTGGTGCCTGACAAGTGTCCTCTTCGTTGAAAAGACCCGATGTTGTTTCTTCAAGGCTAAGCCCTACGCAACAGACCTATCATCAGGTTTGCGCAGTGTTCGACTAACACCACCTGCCTCGTGTCCTCGTGTGGGCGGCGCCTCATCGAGAATGAGATAGCCACACGTGTAAAGGCTCATGATGCTGGGGCTCCACCCACCAAGCTCATCGCGCATCTGGGTGGCATCTGGGCTCACCACTCCCTCATGAGCTCAACAGAAACATCTTGCCGCTTTTTCCCGAAAGCATTGCGAAGGGTTTTGCCGGTAAAATCGGTGCGTTCTGCACAGCTGAAGTGCATAGGACAAGTAGACATTAATTGCATAGGGGCATGCATAGGAAGAGTGCCGAGTGAGTGCAAAGGGGCATGCATAGGAAGAGTGCTGAATGAGTGCGTAGGGACATGCATAGGAAGAGCGCAAAGCGAATGCATAGGTGCATGCATAGGAAGAGTGCCGAGTGAGTGCAAAGGGGCATGCATAGGAAGAGTGCTGAATGAGTGAGTAGGGGCATGCATAGGAAGAGCGCAAAGCGAATGCATAGGTGCATGCATAGGAAGAGTGCAGCATGAGTGCATTGAGGCGTGCGTAGGAAGAGTGCTGAGTGAAAGCGTAGGGGCATGCATAGGAAGAGTGCTGAGTGAGTGCATAGGGGCATGCATAGGAAGAATGCTGACTGAGTGCGTAGGGGCATGCGTGGGAAGAGTGCTGGGTGAGTGCATAGGGGCATGCATAGGAAGAGTGCTGAGTGAGTGCATAGGGGCATGCATAGGAAGAGTGCTGAATGAGTGCGCAGGGGCATGCATAGGAAGAGCGCAAAGCGAATGCATAGGTGCGTGCATAGGAAGAGTGCAGAGTGGGTGCATTGAGGCGTGCATAGGAAGAGTGCTGAGTGAAAGCGTAGGGGCATGCATCCTTACAGGACTCGTCTCGCAAGGAAAGATGCTGAGTGAGTGCATAGTGGCATTGCGTAGGAAGTAATGCTGAGTGAGTGCGTAGGGCAAAGCAATAGCAGAGTGCTGATGAGATGCATAGGGGCATCATAGGAAGAAATGCTGACGGAGTGCCGTAGGGGCCTTGCGTAGAAGAGTGCTGGGTGGATGCATAGGGGCCTCATAGGAAGGAGTGCTGAAGTGATGCGGGGCATGCGTAGGAAGAATGCTGAGTGAGTGCGTAGGGGCATGCATAGGAAGAGTGCTGAGTGAGTGCATAGGGGCATGCGTAGGAAGAGTGCCGAGTGAGCGCATAGGGGCATGAATAGGAAGAGGGGCATGCATAGGAAGAGTGCTGAGTGAGTGCATAGGGGCATGCATAGGAAGAGTGCCGAGTGAGTGCGTAAGGGCATGCGTAGGAAGAGTGCATAGCGAATGCATAGCGAATGCATAGGGGCATGCGTAGGAAGAGTGCTGAATGAGTGCGTAGGGGCATGCATAGGAAGAGTGCTGAGTGAGCGCATAAGGGCATGCAAAGGAAGAGTGCTGAGTGAGCGCATAGGGACACGCATGGGAAGAGTGCTGAGTGAGTGCGTAGGGGCATGCGTAGGGAAGGTGCAGAGTAAACTCGCAGAGGTCTTGCATGCCTTCTTGCCTGCTTTTTGAACTTTGTTGTCACTGTCCTATTCAGGTGTTGACGGGCGAGGTGTTTTGACCACAGGAAGTCTTCAGCGCTTGCCGTCTTGCTGGGGTGCAATGGCGCGTGGGCCATTCAGGTTGTCGATCTCCTTGTCGCCCTCCTCTGCTCGGGTGACAATAATGAGCTGGCGTCTGCGTTCAAAAGCTTGCCGGGTGAGCTCAATCAATGCATTGCCGTCACCCTGCAGCCCACCATCGAAAGCATTGTCGAAGAAAATGCGCGTGCAAATGCCATGACTTGCAAGCTGTCTGAAAAAACGAGCGCGCAACTTTGAGTGCAAGGGATGTGTCTGAAACCCGGAAAAAACTTTGAGGCTCTGCCCAAGCTCTCCCTGCAGTACCACCATCACGCAGGACTCGCTTGCGTTGGTCTTCAACACAGACTTCTGAAAAGCTCTGCGGCTTTTGCGTCAACTTCTCGCTTATCTTTTCCGACGTAAAATGCGGAACGCATGGCTTTTATACGCACATAAGCTGTTGTTCCAGTTGCTGGCTTTAATGCATCACTGTGTCTTTCGTATAATGTGCTGTGAATCAGGCGCCGCATGATCAGGTGTACACTCAGGTGCCGTGGCCCCTGGCCCAAATCACCCCGCAGTGGGACTTTGCTTCGCCCACTGGCTACGCAGAGAAAGGTGCGCTGGCGCCTTGGTGCTCTACCTTGTCTTCAGCCTGGGGCTTCGTGGGCCCTGGCAACGAAGTGATATTGGCAGAGGAGCCGCTCTTCGGCATCCAGACTGCGGGTCACTTTGGCATCCTCGGCAGAACCGGCAGTGCAGCAACCTCCCGGACAGCGACCTAGGTATCTTCATGGCATCCTCCTCCCCTTCACAAAGCTCTATGAGCCCCCCGTCCACGGATGTGGCCACTACAAGGGATAGCTGCGTTCCCCTGTTCAGCGGTCAACCCAATGACTTCCGAAAGTGGCGGAAGAGGATAGCTTTGTACAACAAGAAGATGGTGGTAACGAAGAGAGAGAAGGAGGCGGTCTAAAGGAGCCGGTCTACAACCTCCTCGGCTCTCTCACCGGCACCGCCTGGAAAGTTGTGAGAAGATCCTGAAGTTGCTGGACCAGTCCTTCCTGTACGTGCGGAGCTGACGTCTGATTCAGATGGCTACTTCAACTAGGTTCAGCGCCGGGCAGGTCAGACCCTCCTGAGCTATGTCACAGAGCA